TGACAGTCTGATGCTTCGGAGGTCGCTGCGCCTGCGGAACCCACACCTCGGGGGCGGGCCGGTAAGGGGAGGGGAGTGGCCAGACGCAGTGCGTGAGTCGTTTCGAGCTCACTTGGTTCTTCGAGACACTGGACCCCCTCCCCCCTCTGCCCGCTGCGAGAAAGAAGAATAAGAGACGGAATATGTGTGCCAATTTACGGCATCCAGGGGTCCTCACCAAGCCCCGGAATCGTCAAACAACTGCGTTGATGGAAGTTGGTTCCCCGGGAAATTGGTGCAAATTTCCAAGGGATCCACGTTTCGGACCAAAAAAAACGACGTCGGAATTCCAGGACCACTGGGGAACCCATGGCAGACAGCCATGGTGGGCGGCCAGGAAAACGGGGAGCAGGAAGCATGGCACGCGTGCCTGCCAAGAGTCGGGGGTACAGCGGCCTCTTGCCTCAAAGGATCGTCCTCACGGCTGCTTCAAGCCCATTGTTGTATTTGCTATCTTGTAAAAGTCCGTGCTCTACAGCTCGGCGCCCTTTGTGTCCGCCGTCATTCGTTCGCTCGTCGGCACCTCCCCCCCATCCCTGTCCCATCATGATGGTCACGATGGCCCCAACTAAGAACACCAGGATCGCCCCAAGAACCCCTCCCCGCACCCAGCTTCCCCCCCTCCTCTTGGCACCCGCCCTCCCTCGTGGCGCCCGTTACAGGCACCGCTCCCCGAATCCCCCCCCGCTGGTCACGCCACAAGTCGCGCAGGCGCCGTCTGAGCACCCCCCCAGGGAACCAGGTGCGGGGTGAGAGAGACCGCCCCCTCCTCCCCGAAACGGGGGCGGGGGGGGGGACCTCCACGCCCCCCCCCAGGCTCGAACCGGCGGGCGGTGGGGGGGCGGCTGGAACCAGCTCTGATCCAGCACGAGGGCTGGATCGGGCTCTGATCGAGCTCTAATGGAACCCTGATGTACCCAGATCCAGCTCTGATAGAATATCATTCGAGCTTGGTCCAGCAGCTCGAATGGAATCCGGAATCCTACAAAGGCTAGACCGAGTTGTTATAAAGTCGAACTATTTGGTTTGGGCTTCGCTCTAATCGACTCCTACTAGGGTTCGGCCAAACCTCAATGCAATTTTACGTTGGATCGAATCGGTCTCTAAAACGATGACATTCGTGCTCGATCCAGCTGTGATAAGATCCGACGTAGCACTCCGCAGCTGCGGATAGGAGTGACGGGGCGGGCGCGGGGTGGGTCGCGGGTGGGTCGTGGGTGGGTCGCGGGTGGGAAACAGGTGGGTAGCACGTGGGTCTTGGGTGGGTCGCGGGATCGGTTCTGGGTTGGACGATGACAACAACGACGACGACGGCAACAACAACGAACAATTTTTCGCTCTTACCTGCCGCGTTCTATTCGACGCGTGGGTACCCGCCCTCTGTCTGGGATCGTACCTTCCTGCGGGTATGTCTCCATGACCTGCCCGTGTAATTGGTGCAGCCCCTGAAGCAAGGGGAATCGAAAAAGGTGAGGGAAGAGGATGGAACACGAGATTCGCAACAGAGGGACAAGGAACAGACAGCACGTGGCAGAACCAGACGGGCCCATCGGGCGAGAAGACCCTTACGGGCGGGTCGGGAAGGCGGGATGGAGCGTGAGTACCGCCAGGACAAGAGAGTGATTCCTGAGTGTCGGGGGCGCGGCGTCTGAATGAATCGCGAAGAGATCCCACGCGAAAGCGCGATTCCGCATAACCTGTGAGGAGGTCCTGCGCGAGATCGCGATTTAGGAATCATTAGAACAAATATCGGGCGGAAGCCGTTGTTGTCGTTGTTGCAACTCGGGGGCCAGGGGCAGCTTGGTGACACCCCATTTAGCCCTGATAAAGATCAAGGTTCGAGCTCCGAGGGGTCACCTCAATTTAAAAAATGTAAAGGTTAGTGGAGGGAGGATCAACCATTCCTTTTTCCCTACCGAGGCTCTGCCTAGAAGAAGGGTTCTTACTGTCTTGGCTTATTAAAGGGGCCGGGCAGTGGAAAACGCCCCGGGCGGTTCCCCCAGTCCCCTGGGAGCCGCGCGATTCCCCCAGTTGCGCCCCCTGGGTGCCAAGCAAAAGCAAAAGCAAAGGCAAAAGTGAAGGCAAAAGCGAAGGCAAAGCAAAAGCATAGCATAGCATAGCATAGCATAGCGCAGCATAGCAAAGCGTATAATAGCATAGCATAGCATAGACTAGCCTGGCCTAGCCTAGCCCAGCATAGCATTGCGCAGCATAGCATAGCATAGCATAGCGTAGTATAGCATAGAAGACCAGAAAATAGCGCAGCACAGCATCCACTATTGCTGTTGCTATATATGTATGTACTCCTAGGTAGGGTCGCGCTGGGAAAACTTTGACATAATGATTCAAGCAGAATCCGCGCCGCGGAATCCCACTTCAGCCAAGCACCCAAGGACGGTTCAAGCCGGTTCGGCCACCTCACTCTAATAGAACCACATACGGTCTGCCATAGAACCGCGTAAAAGGCCCTAATATGATCCTACGGTCAGGATTCAAATTTAAAAGAACTGGAAAACAGGCTCGACCCAGTCAAAGTACAGACCTATCGGAGCCCAGTTCGTCTCTAGGACAATCCTACAAAACTGCTGGACCAACCTAGGAAGGAATCCCCCTAACCCTTTCCCGGCTTGGTCTGAACTGCAACGGATCATCTCAAACCCGACCCCCCCCTGGTTCGACCCAGGGAGGGAGAGGGGGGGGCCTGCCCGAAACTGGGGCGAATTACAAGCAACTCGGGCGGATTCCAACCGCGTCGGACCCAAACCCAGCCAACTGGGACCAAGCACAACCGTTTCTGCAGATCTTCAAATGTGTGCGAAAAAGGTTTCTCCGAAGTTCTTTTGCAAGGTCCTTGGAGGATCCGTACACGTTCCCTAAACAATCCCAACCAACTGGGACCAATCACGACCGTTTTGCAGATCTTCAAATGTGTGGGTGAAAAGGTTTCTCCGAAGTTCTTTTGCAAGATCCTTGGAGGATCCTTACACGTTCCCTAAAGGTGCCTCAAGGGATCCACCTGCAGCGCTTCCAGGAGAAACGCTTCGTGCCGCCGCGGCCCCGGTGAAACCCCGAGCCAATGGAGGTGGGAACGGGGGGGGCGAACGGCTCGTCATCCTCCTCCTCCTCCCCTCCTCCTCCTCCTCCTCCTCCTCCTCCTCCTCCTCCTCCTCCTCCTCCTCCCCTCCTCCTCCTCCTCCTCCCCTCCCCCTCCTCCCCCTCCTCCTCCTCCCCTCCTCCTCCTCCTCCTCCTCCCCTCCTCCTCCTCCTCCCCTCCTCCTCCTCCTCCTCATCCTCCCCCTCCTCCTCCTCCTCCTCCTCCTCCTCCTCCTCCTCCTCCTCCTCCTCCTCCTCTCCTCCTCCTCCTCCTCCGGGGGGGGGGGGGGGGGGCGAACGGCCATGTGACCTGTCGTCGCCGCCGAAGGACTGTTTGGTCACTGCCTCCTTGCAGGCGTGGAAATCCCAAACGCCCGAAGGCGACTCTCCCAACGGATGCGTTTCGCCCTCGCGGGGGCTTCGAAGAGACTGAACCCATGGGGAGGGCGACAGAGTCGCCCTGCCCCCTGCCGTCCCCGCCGAATTGTTCGGCCCCCGATGCCGCAAATGCGTTTCTTGCGGGCGCGGGGCCCCCCGAACCAACGAGGGCGACGCTTCCAATGGCAGCGGTTCGTGCCCTCGGGGGTTCGAGGAGCCCCAAGACCTCCAGGGGCGGGACCGCCTGGCCGAACGATTCATTTTGCCCTTCGCTGCCGCCACCAAGTCGTTCGGCCCCCGCCCTTTTCTCTTGCGGGCGCGGGAATTCCCCTGGCTCCGAGGACAACGTTTTTCTAATGGAAGCGTTTCGTACCGTCGGGGGTCCGGGAGACCCCCGAACCCATGGGGAGGGAGAGCGTGGCCGAACGAGTCGACCTCCCCCCCCCCGCCGCCGCCGAGTCGGATTTCAGATCTGATCGGCCCTGCCCGGCCAGACGCTGCGCCCCTGGCCACTCGGCGATGATCGATCTCGAAGCTGTTTTGAGCCACGTTGCGGGGGGCGGCAAACATTGATTTTCGACCGCAACCAATTGTACTTCAGACCGCCTTGACAGATCCTGGGATGCTCATGCCTACAGTGCGGGCGCGGCCGCAAGAAACCCTCGCAAGAAACCGAACCCTGAGAACCCGCCCGCGAGGTGCACCTCAGGGGAAACCTGGAGCACCCTGAACGCAGCAGCTCCTTCAACGGCTGCGGGAAGTCACCGCGCAGCGCGAGGAGCGAAGAAACCCAGGATACCCTGACGAAAAGCAGATGGTTTCTTGATGCGCGCCACCACTGTAATTGCCTCTATTTCTTCCTCGTCGAGAAGCGGCGCGCTCAGGGTCCACGTATGTCGAGCTGGGACTGCGCTCGGCGCCCGCCAGCACCGACAGTCTCTGTAAGGCAAGAGCGAAGGGGCCCTGAACCTGGCCCTCGAGCTTCAATTGCCCAAAGATTGCAGCCCACATTACTCAGAGATTGGGCCCATCTTCGCCGGAGCGGGAAAAGTGCTACGGGGGTCCATGAATGGAATGCACGCCTCCATTGGCCCAAATATTCGGACATATTGATGCCGACAATATCTATATATATAATACGAGCTTCTCTGGTGCTCCAGTGCTCAGCGACCACTAAAAGAAAATGACACCTGCGGAACCACGGCGCAGCGTCCACCAGCCAACGGCGCACTGCAACGACCTTCCAGAAATGTGAGGCAGAAGCCACAACAAGTAATGCCGAGCGAAATCTGCTTAGATCGCACGGCCCGCATGCGTGCGAGGGACAACCCTTCTGCCTCTCACTCCAGCGAAAAGGAGGCGGCGGAGGCGGAGGTAGCGCAGGCGGTGGATAACGAGACGCAATGATGGAAAGGGGGAAAGGACAGAGGAAGGCTGGACGGCAACCAATGACACTGAGTATGCAGCATCGCTGGTCACACCTCCCCAGTTCAGAGCAACGTCCACCCTAATGCAGGCAAAGGTGCAGCTATGAGCAGCATTGTAAGTGGATCTCCTTTCACAACCGTCCACCAGCCCAAGAGGCTTGCAACTGCCGCGAGAGCAAGAACCCCACGACCAGCGTACTTGTGCACCCGTCGAATCACTTTGGATGGCTTCATTAGGCCAAAATCAGGATCCAGTAGGACGCTCCCGGCCATGGCAGAGGCAAGAGTGAGAACGAGGCAAACCAATCCGACCTTGCCGTGGACTGTCGTGAAATGTGGCTTCCCGCTGGCGTCCTTGTTCGAGTGAATGACGTACCAGCCGAACAGAGCTGCAACAGTACCCGCCGCCATGCCGTACCCGTGAACCGCCACCGTGCCCTCGAGGCACGAACTGGAGCGTCCTAGAATCCCTTGCTCGATTCCCTGGAGGCTCCCTCTCGGGGATCTTCTGACCCGGGTCAATTCAGACCCGGGTCAGCAGGAAACCAAACAACTGCAATGCAGGGAAAAAAAACTGCAACACAGGTCTTCGCAAACCCGGGCCAGCCAATATGCGCGGCCGCCTCGCGGCCACGAGCGGCTCGCTAACCCGGGTCAGCCAGAGGGGGTCTTCGCAGGATCCTGCAGGATCCGGTGCGCTGGCTGACCCCCGTCTGCATTGACCCCCATCTCTTGAGCCCCGATCCTCCTCGGTCCGCAGGGCTCCGGGAGGGGCCGAGGCCCCCAAATTGCTCACGTCGTCGGGGGCTGCTCGCGCGCGGACCCCCGGGAGGGGCGCCCGGAGGGCTGTCTGTCGCAGAACCTGGCGGCGAGCGAGGGAGACGACTTCCCTGACTTTCCAGAGAGCTATTTGTTAGCACGGGAGAACTAAACGAAACAGCCTAACACCAAGACATATAATAGCTCTGGGATGGGTTTTTAAGTCGCGTGCTATTTTTTTGCCCTCGGAAGGTCAGGGTTAGAAGGAGAAGACCTTCTCCTTCGAATTCGAACTCGAAGCGAACGAGCGGCGGGACATCTCCGAAGCCCTCGCGCCTTCTGAGAAATTGTTCTGCGTCTTCGGGGAAGGCCTAGAAAGCTTCTCAGAAGGCGGTCGACCTCCGAGCCTTCGGAGAAGGACCACCCCTTTTCACTCCCCCCCCTCGAGACGGGCCAAGAGACCCCACGAGCTCGCCGAGACGGTTCAGGACGCCCAAGATGGGGCCCGGGCAGCCCGAGAGGACCTCGAGCCGCCCCGGGGGGCGCCCGGAGAGGCCGGAACCTTGGCGTGTCTCTAGACAGTTCAATGGTTTGCTGGTTCTCCGCTTTTCGAGCTTCCGACGCTCCAGGACGTCCCAAGAGGCACCCACGACCGCCCCAAGACGGCCCCAGTGGCCGCCAAGGGAACCCAAGACGGCCCAAGAGGGCCCCGCGGCGGCCCGACGCGGCCCAAGAGGGCACCAAGACGGCCCCAAGAGGGGCCCAAGAGGGGGAGCACGACCCGACAAAAATGTAGCTTTCCGCCCCACGAGGCGCCCAGGAGGCCCCAAGAGGCCTCCAAGAGGCCTCCAAGAGGGACCCAAGAACCCCCAAGGGGCCCCCACGAGGCCCCCGAGAGGTCCAAAAAAGGCCCACACACTCCCCCAGAGGCCTCAAACTGCCTCCAGGAGGCCCCGGAGAAGCCTCGACGAGATCCCAACGAACATGCAAGAGGTCTCGGACCCCAAACCCAGGCAAGGGTTGGGCCGAAGGCCATCAGATACTTCGTCGCCACTCGTCCACCAACTTTCTTAATCAATACTGCAGGCCCCATGCATGCAAAGAAGCCCACGACCATCGCCGTGGGATGGTACCAGAACCACACGGGCCAAAAAGGCTTGACTGAAAGTGCGGAGAGCAGAGCGTACACCAGGAAGAGCGAGCTCAACCACAGACGCGACCGAGCACTGTTTGCAGGCAGCCCGAAGACCTTCGCCTCGTCGTCCGACAGGCCCATCTGGCCCACCTCACGCGATTGGCGCCTGCCTTCCAGCTGGCACCAGACAGCAGGCAGGGGCCACACACGCGGGCCTGCGCCCAACGCGCGCTCGTGCCCAAAACGGCTGATTACATGAGCATGGTCCATGGCAGACCCTCCGGAGGGATGTTGGCAAGCCCGCGAGACGGGCCATGAAGCCGGACAAAGCAGGCTCAAGCCCAGGATAAAGCCTTGTTAAGCAGTGCTGCAACGGATTAGCCCCGATCTGACCAGAGTAGCCCGGATCAGTCCCGATGTTGACTATGCAAGCTCCGACGCTGAATGTGAAATCTCAAGACCAGGCCAGGCGTCCACGGTCTCCCCTGCCTGGAACGACCGCCAGGCCCTCTCGGAGCCCCCGCCAAAAGGGCCACCAGAAGAAGGCATCCTGCTTGGATCGGCGCAGGGGTTTGGAGGGGGGATTATCAGTGGATCGTGAATAAAATCAACCCACTTAGCCGACCCCAAGAGGCCCCCCAGAAGCCCAAAAGAGACCCAAAGGCGGCCTCCAACACGCTTCAGAACTGCCTCCAAGCGGCCCCCTGCGAGGCCCCAAGACAGATCCCAAGACGCCCACATAGTGCCCAAGAAGCCAACGACGCCTCAACCGTGGACTCCACCCCTCTTCTGGGGGTCGGCGGAATGGCGTGAGCCTCTGGAATAAACTCCACCCACTTCGCCGAGTTCTCTAGCCCCCCTCAGCCATTTTGGCAAACTGTCACCCTCTTTATGAGCTAGGTTAGGTCAGACATAACCCACCGTGGCATCCACTGAGCACCCTCATCCCCTTAACAACCCCCTCGCCGACCCAAATTCGCCGGCCCAACGGGCCAGAGGCGTGCTAAGATCTCCGGTAACTGGTTAACAATAGTTCTAGTTCGCGCGCGCGGGGCGGCCCCTGGGGGCCCCCGGACGAAAAGTCCCCCGGCAAGGACCGGGGAGGAGCAACCAGAACGCTCCAGGGGAGGGCCATTTTTCGACACCCCTCACGAGGATCGTGCCCTCCGAGAAGGGAGCCGCAATCGACTAGCCCCCCTCCCGCCCCAAGAGGCCCCAAAAGCCCCCCAAGAGGCCCTGGGGGCCACCAAGACGCCGCCAAGGAGCCCCAAGAGACTCCCAAGTTGGCCCCAAGAGGCCCCCAAGAGGCCCTTAAGAGGGCTCCAGGGCCGGCGGAATGAGCGAAGCGATTAAATAAACACCCCTCACCGAAATTGGCCACTGGAGCTTCCAGCCCTCGACGCCGGCACCCTGGCGGGGGAATCTGAAGCGAACCTGGCTGTGCGACTGGGGCACGGCTGGGGGCCGCCACGCTCCAAGGGGACGCTCGACCTCGAGCGCGTCCACAGGTATATCGGCAGATGGAATGGCAAACTTTCTCTTGTATGGCATTTTGCACCTCCCCCAATCCGGCACCTGTTCAGACAACGCTAGGCCGAAATGGCGGGCGAACGAGTCCCGATCTCAATGAAATCCAAGTTTCCTGTCGGGCCTCGCCACGCCCCCCCCAAAGTCAACCTGCCAGAGACGAAAGGCAGTCTGTCTTCCATCAAAGGCCAGCCAGGCCAGGAGGAGAGCCCCTGGCAGGCATAATCCAAGCGGCAACATGTGTACTCTGGATGGGGCAATCGTCGCCCCCCTGTTGAATCCGCTGGGTGGGTTGGGCACGTGCTGTCGGAATGGGTGGAGGGGGGGCTGGAAGAAGAGGAGGATGAGGAAGGGGAGGAGGATGGAGGGGGGCGGGCTCGGGCAAGCCCAGTCGGAAGGTTACTCGCCCCCCCCCCCCCTGATAGCTACCCCATGCAGTGTACACCGACACCGATCCTGGGAGCGCCGAAGGGGGGGTCCAGGCAGCGGGGGCGTGCACGTGACGGCCCGAGGCACGCGCGCCGGTCGAGCGTGGGCCATCGGAGGCGTAGGAGGACGAGGAGATGGTCATGAAATCGGGGAGACATCATTCGGGAGCGGCCAAGAGGGGGGTGTCCAAGAGGGGGGGGTGCAAATCATGACCGGCGGCATGTGCGCGGCCCAGCGGGGGTCCAGGGACGTAATGAAATAAGAAGAGGCGCAATGAAATCTGAGGAAATATCATGGCCCCCGCCATGATATCCCCCCCCCCTAGTCATCCCCCCCCTCTTTTCCGCCCCCGAATCATTACCCCAGCCACGATGCCAGCCACACGCCACCCTCTCGGATGCCATCGGCCATTCGGAGCCCGGGGACTCCCGCTCGGACGCCCTCGACCATTCAGTCCTCACCTGGCCTGGGCTGGTGGCGGTGTGTGGCTGGCGCCCCCCCCGATCGTTCGGGACGCGAGGGCCCAAAACGCGAGGGTTTCATACATGCATACATCCATGCATAGATGCATACATATACGCCTGCATACATATATGTATGTGTGCGCATTAATTCATTCATGCATGCGTACACATGCATACATACGTACACACATGCATGCATGCATGCATGTACACGTGTATACGTACATGCATGAATGCATGTATACAACAATACATAAATATATACTTATGTACACATACATACATACATACATACATACATACATACATACATACATACATACATACATACATACATACACATACATACATACATACATACATACATACATACATACATACATACATACATCCATACACACATACATGCATACATACATACATACATACATACATCCATACATACATACATACACACATACATACACACACGCATACATACATACATACATGCATGCACGCATGACTGTTTATGTACATGATACCACATGCATGCATGATGCACACATGATGTGAATGATACCTCATGCACCACGTGCGTGATACCTCTTGCATGCACGCATGACACCACGTGCATGATACCTCATGCATGCACGCATGACAAATTCATACGTACATGATACCACGTGCATGATACCTCATGCATGCACGCATGATGTGAATGCATACATGCATGCACACGTGCACACACATACATACATGATTACCTACATACAGACATACATACATGAATGCATGACTACACATATACATACATGCATACATGCATGCATACACACATGTACACATATATATATATATACATATATACGCACATACGTACATACATACACATTAACAACATACGCACATATGCATACATAAACCTACAACCATAAACATGCGTACATGCAGTACTGCACACACATTTACACATCCATACATGCACACACTACAGACTTACTTAAACGTACACACATACACCCGTATACACACATCAACACATCCATGTATACATGAGTGCATGCACACGCACATGCATGCATACATACACACACGCACACATACATATAGCCATACATACATACATATGTGTGTATATATATATAGTTACGTACGTGCGTACGTACGCAAGTACATACACACTGGTATAAGTATGCATGCACGCCTCTCTTTTCACATAGCATACGCATACATGTCTATATACCTCGATATATATATATAGATATATGTATATATACAAATATGTATATATACACATACATATATATATATTATAAAAATGTAGCTACACATATCCACTCGATCATAAGATCCGCCATCGTGCCCTCGAGGCACGAGCTGGATTGTCCTCGACTCTCCTGCTCAGTCCCATTGATCATCAGTCCTCAGTCGGGAGAATCTCTCGAGGCTTGTGGCGTGGCTCCTGGGGCATGACGCATTACTTGTTCGGGCCCACAAGGGCCCGAAGGCGGGCCAAGAGTGCCCTAAGAGGCGCCCAAACCCGAGGGCCCGGAATGGCTTGAACGGCAGGTCCAAGACGCCCAATGAAGGCCTCCGGTCGGCCGCAAGAGCGCCGAGGACGTCCCAAGAGGCCCCCAAGGAGCCTCCCCAAGAGGGCCCCACGCAGCCAAAAGTATTGATGCTCGGGATGTGTTCCTGTGATGTTGGGGTGCTCCACTTCTCGAGCCCCCGATGTTCCAAGACGTCCCGCGAGGCCCCCAAGACCGCCTCAAGACCGCCCCAAGACGGCCCCAGAAGCCCCCAAAACGGCCCCGCAGGCGCCCAAGACTGCCCAAGAGAACCCCAAATCAGCCCCAAGAGGGGGAACACAAAATTCGAGTCTTCCGCACCAAGAAGCGCCCAGGAGGCCCCAAGAGACCCCCAAGACGCCATAAGATGCCCACCAGAGGCCTCCACGAGGCCCCAATGAAGAGGTCCCCCAAAAAAGCCCAAAGAGGCCCCAAAACAAGCGCCCATAGGCCTCACAACAGGCTTAAGGATGCCCCCCCAGAGGTCACTTCCAGATCCGTACATCCAAGAAGCGTCAGAGCCACAGCCGGAGCACGGCGCTGGGAAGGGCCAAAGACCGCCACATATACATGTCAGAGAGAGAGCCGAATCGAAAAATCGTGGTGAGAATTTTGCTTGTTGCGTTGTTGTTGTTGTTATTGTTGCTGTTGCCGTTAGTGCTTGTTGTCGTCGTCCCACCCGCGACCCACCAGCGACCCACCACCCCGCGACCCACCCCGCGACCCAACCCGCGACCAACCCGCGACCGACCCCGCGACCCACCCGCGACCCACCCGCGACCCACCCGCGACCCACCCCGCCACCCACCCGCGACCCACCCCGCGACCCATCCGCGACCCATCCGCGACCCACCCGCGACCCACCCCGCGACCCACCCGCGACCAACCCCGCGACCCACCCTCAAGGGAGGAGAAAACACCCAGACCCGACAATTGACGACCACTAAACGGCCCTAGGCGTTTACTAAACAGCCCTGCCGTCTTCGATTCATTCCGTGTGTACGTTTACTAAACGGCTTCGCTTGACGGGGTATGATTACGCTGTGGATTGTCTGTCCTCTACACCCGCGACCCACCCGCGATCCAACAGCGGCACACCTCGCGACCCATTTGCGACCCACCCGCGACCTCCCCACATTGGCTTAACGAAAAAATTGGCGCCTGCGGCGGGCTCGTTGCGGGATTATCCAGAGTCTCCCAAACTGCCGACGTCCCCACCGCCCCCTCACTCTTATCCGCATCTGCGGGGTCTACCGACGTCCCCACCGCCCCCTTACTCTTATCCGCATCTGAGGGTGTGTAGCTAGATATGTAAAACAACTGTCATCCATCTCTTTGTATCGCATCCTCTCGTTATGCTGCTTGTCCTGCTACTCCAGTTCATGACCTTCATCCATTTCCTTCTGCCCCTCCTGCTCTTCGCCCTCTTCCTTCATCTGCACCCCAGCCCCAAAGGCTCACAGCAGCTCCCAGTGTGTCCAATACCCATGCTCACTCCCCAAACCACTCGCCCACCCACCAATCCTCCCCCTCTCCTCGGCTTCGGTGCTCCAGCCTAAGTCGGGCCTGTCCCTCTACAGGGGGATTTCGACGAAAAATAAAACATGCCTCCAAAATACTCCAACAAAAATACTCCAAACATAGTCTGGGGACTATTTTTTGACAACTTTGGGACCTTTTTGGTGCATGTTTGGGCTATTTTTTGTCGAAAATCCCCCTGTAGGGGACAGGCCCGACTTAACTCCAGCCCCAAAGACCTTCGAGTATGAGAGCTTCTTCAGGTAATTCGTCCTGAAATCGTCCTGGCTCGGCGGCCTCAGGACGTCCATCGTAAAAGACCTGGTCCGGGCACCTGTCCCGTCCTCGCAGTCCTCCTCGTCGTCTGGGACGAGCTTGTGCTGCAGTCTGTCCGGCGCCTCTACCGTCTCCTGCCGGCGCCGCCCCCCGCCCCCCGCCCCTCCTCCCCTCCTCCCTCCTCCTCCTCCTCCTCCTCCTCCTCCTCCTCCTCCTCCTCCTCCTCCTCCTCCTCCTCCTCCTCCTCCTCCTCTCCTCCTCCTCCCTCCTCCTCCTCCTCCTCCTCCTCCTCCTCCTCCTCCTCCTCCTCCTCCTCCCCCTCCCCGTCCGCACCTCATACGTCAACCTCGTCCCCGCCTGCACCGCACCCCCGACGGCCAGAGACTTCCCGGGCGGAGGAAATGGGGCTCCGCCATCAAAGCCAGCCCTGGGGCGAGGGAGGGAGTGGGCAGAGGGAGGAGGAGGGAAGAGAAAGAGAGGGGAGGACGACAAGTGGAGGAGGGAGGAGGAGGAGGGTGGAAGGAACTAGGAACCAGGATGAGGGGGGAGGGAGGAGAGGGGAGGAAGACGGGTAAGAAGGGAGGACGGAAGAGGGGGGAGAAGGATGAGGAAAGGAAGCGGAAGGAGAAGAACGAGAACGGAGGAAGAGGAGGAGAAGACGGAGGGGAGAAGGGATGGACGAGGGGGGATGAGGACAGGGGAGCAGAGAGAAGGGAGGAAGAGGAGGATGAGGAGGAGAAACAGGAAAATGAGGGGAGAGAAGAACGAGAAATCCAATCGAATCGTGGGGGTGTCCTGAGGGCGCCTCCACGTCCCCTGGGTCTGGTTGTTGTGCTTGTTGATGCCCAGCCTCTGCAGGTAGTCGTCCCGCCGCCGGCTGATCTCGACCTCTGCTGCCAGCGCCGCCGCCGCAGCTGCTGATGGTCCTGCTCCTGCTGCTCCTCCTCCTCCTCCTCCTCCTCCTCCTCCTCCTCCTCCTCCTCCTCCTCCACCGTGACTCCTGCCATTGCTCCCACTCCTCATCCTCCCCCTCAACGTCCCCACTCCTCAGTAACGAGTATGTCTGCTCCTCCTACACGCTCCTCCTGCTCCCGCTCCCCCCCGTGCTCCTCCTCCTCCTCCTCCTCCTCCTCCTCCTCCTCCTCCTCCTCCTCCTCCCCCTCGTCCTCCTCCTCCTCCTCCTCCTCCTCCTCCTCCTCCTCCTCCTCCTCCTCCTCCTCCTCCTCCTCCTCCCCCTCCCCCTCCCCTTCCCCTCTTCCCCTCTTCCCCTCTCTCCTCCTCCTCCACCTCCTCCTCCTCCTCCTCCTCCTCCTCCTCCTCATCATCATCATCATCATCATCATCATCATCATCATCATCATCATCATCATCATCATCATCATCATCATCATCATCATCATCATCATCATCATCCTCATCATCATCATCATCAGCAGCAGCATCATCAGCATCATCAGCATCATCATCACCATCATCAGCATTATCAGTATCATCAGCAGCATCAGCATCAGCATCAGCATCAGCATCATCATCATCACCATCATCATCATCAACATCATCATCATCAGCATCATCATCTGCATCATCAGCATCAGCAGCAGCATCATCATCATCATCATCATCATCAGCAGCAGCATCCTCTCCTCCTCCTCCTCCTCCTCCTACTGTTTTGTTTCCCTTAGTGTATTTCATATGATGTTTCTGCTTCTGCGCCTGCTGATTATTAGTATTATTAGTACTAATGAAGGTAGTGCGTTGCAGTATTAGAGTTATGATTCGTATGGACAGTATGCTTCGTGTTTGTATTTCTCATCCTCATCCTCACCCTCCGCCGGCCCCGCCTCCGCCGCTGCCACTGCCACCGCCTCCGCGTCCCCCGCCTCCTCCTCATCATCATCCTACCCCTTCTCCTCCTCATCCTCAAACTCCTGCTCCTCCTCCTCCTCCTCCTCCTCCTCATCCCTCCCCCCCCGCCTCCTCCTGCCTGCCGCCTCCTCCTCCTCCGCCTCCTCCTCCGCTTGCACATAATATTCGTCTTCTGATTGTTTATGCTCTTCGTGTTAGTTTTGTCTTCTCACTGTTGTCATCATCATTGTGTATGTGGTTATTCGTATTCGTATTATTGTGAGTAGTAGTGAACGTTGTCGTTGTATGATTTGGATTAGTCTTCCTCCTCCTCCTCCTCCTTCTCCTCCTCCTGTTCGTCCTCATCATTATCCCCCTCCTCCTCCTCCTCCTCCTCCTCCTCCTCCTCGTCCTCTTCATCCCAGTCCTCCTCCTCCTCCTCCTCCTCCTCTTCCTCCTCCTCCCCTCCTCCTCTCCTCTTCCCTTCCTCCTCCTCCTCCTTCTCCTCCAACTCCTCCCCCTCCTCCTCTCCTCTTCCTCTCTCCTCCTCCTCCTCCTCCTCCTCCTCCTCCTCCTCCTCCTCCTCATTCTTATCCTCCCCATCCCCCTCCCCCTCCCCCTCCCTCTTTCTCTCCTCCTCCTCTTCCTCCTCCTCATCCTCCGCCTCTTCCTCCGTACATCCTCCTCATCCGCACCAAGGCCTGGAGAGACAGCAGTTTCATGCAGGCTCCAACGGCGACCTCTTGCATCGCATCGGCAGGACTCCGACCCAACGAGGAAGCGACACAGATGCAGTGGAGCTGCACCACATCAGCAGCCACCTCACGCGGGAAGAGGCAGAGGCCATGGATTTTCCCTAGGCACGCTTGGGCATGAGCATCGTTTATCCGATCTCCATCCCCAGCGGCGTGGCCTGGGGCCCACTGGCCGATTTACCACCCTAGATGGGAATATAGGGGTGTAACCCAAACTGGGGTGGTAATTTGGTGAGGGCCTCGAAGGGGGTGGGGATGGGGATGGGGATGGGGGTGGGGGTTGGTTCAACGATACTGAGGCTGGTCATCGACGCACCAAGCGTCTCGCAGAAGGCTATGCTAGCAGGCAGAGCCATCGGAGAGGCCCAGAGGGACTGCTACCAGTGAGCGCGAGCCACGGAGAGCCTGGCCGGGAGGCGGCCAGGCGCGACCCCCCAAGACTCTATCCACGCGAGGCCAGCCGAGGACAAGGGACTCCGCACCCAGCGCCTGAAGGGCCGCCAGAAGAAGAGAGAGCAGCGCAGAAGCGAGCCCGAGGAGGCCGCCCACGACGCTCTGCCTCGTGCGGCCGCGTAGAGGCACGGGCGGGGTATGCGCAGGCTGCCCGCAGACGGTCGGCGCCAGCACGGACATGGCGACACTGGAGCAGTGGTTCGGAGGGGGCTGCCCAGGGCCCCCTCTGACGAGCGGCAAGGACGTCACCTTCAAAGGCGCCTCGTCCTACAGGCCCCACCCGCTGATGAGGCCGAAGCGGGGAAACGGCGCCGGTTCTTCGGGAGCTGTGGCGTGTCAGCTTTGGAGTCCGTCTCGAAAGAAGCTGCGGACCGAGTGCAACGGGGCGCACTCGTGCGGCAGTGCGGAAAACAGACTGACAGACTGAATGCAAAAGGCACGGACGAAGTCCTCGCCGTCGCCAGGTCGCCCGGCCAGCGACGACGCACGCGGAGCATGGGGGCCGCGTCGAGGGCGAAGCACAGCCAGGACCCGGGGCAGAGTGATGGGCCCGTTGTCCACCACCACCACCACCACCACCATAAGGGGGAGGGGGAGGGGGTCCTTCTCCCCCTCCTCCTCCTCCTCCACCTCCTCCACCTTCTCCTCCTCCTCCTCCTCCTCCTCCTCCTCCTCCTTGTAGTCCTCCTCCTCGTCCTCCACCTGCTTCCTCCCTCCGACTTGTGGCGGTGGTGGAAAACAGGCCCACTACAGGACCCGGGGCAGAAGACGGCCACCGTGGGTGCAGCGAGCGAGCTGGAGACCTGCCGCACGTCGCTCGGGCTACTACCTCGCCATCGCTCGGACGTCCATTTCCCGTGCATGTTTCGGCTTCGTGCGTGTTTTTGTTTTGCTCGATGGTCCAGGATCGTCCTCAATTGTTCTCGCCGAGAAAACATACACACGTCCGAGCGATGCCATGTTTACCCGTCGTGGGCCCCGCCGTGGGGCGCCGGGGAGGCCCTCCAAGTAGCAGGCTCGACCCCGCACCGCCCTCGGGCTCGCAGCGCGAGGGCAGCATGCCACCGAAGTGGGCGCCCTGCCGCCCCCCACGGCCCAAGGGAGGACAGGAGGAGGACAAGGACGAGGAGGACAGGACAGGACAGGACAGGACAGGACAGGACAGGACGAGGAGAAGGACGAGAAGGACGAGGAGGAGAAGGACGAGGAGGACAGGGCAGGACAGGACATCCGCATAAAGGGGGTCAACGTCGAAACGCCCGCAGGGGAGCTGTGGTGTACGACTTCCAAAATCCCCTGCGAGTGCAAAATGCCGCAGACCCAGACTTCTCATGGGGGCCGGCAGGGGGCATACCCCGAAGCTCAAATGGGCGAGCTCCGAGGAGGCCAGGAGGAGGACGTAGGAGGAGGAGGAGGAGGAGGAGGAGGACGTCGTCGCCGTCGTCGGATGACGAGGAGCCAGACACATCGACGGCAAGAGCTGCAGGCAGCTGAGCCCGTTCGGCCGACGAGGCGCGAAGGCGGGAGCCCGCGCGAAGCGGGAGGCGGGAGGCCGCAGTCATCGGAAGTGGGGAGAATCTCCGGACAGTCCTCCTCCTCCTCCTCCTCCTCTTCCTCATCTCTTTTCCTCCTCCTCCTCCTCCTCCTCCTCCTCCTCCTCCTCCTCCTCTCTTTTCCTCCTCTGTGTTCCTTCTCCTGCCGCCCCCCCCGCACGCGTCTGAGTATCAGGCGGGTCGGGCCGGGGGTAGGCCCCCTGGCACGTCTCACCATGTGTGACCCTGGAGCTTGACATTTGCAAACAATTTCACGGCTGGAGGGCGCGTCGTTTCCAAAATATTGAAGGAGCCCCAGGACACACAAATGAAAACACACAAATAAAATGATTCCCCATATTTTCCCATATTTTCTGAGTGTTCGTCTTCCCCCCCCACTTCCCATATTTTCCCATATGTTCCTGAGGATCGACGATGAATTGTGTCTGTGTGTTTTTCCCCTCCTGAAATATGTGGCTCTCGGGTAAGCGCCGCGCGCATGCGTCCTAAACACTTGCAGCAACTCAATGGATGGATGGCGGGCAATTTTCAAAGTGTGGACCCCGCCTTGGCGCCGTAAACATTCGTCTCAACAGCTTACAAGAGTTTCATATTAGCGGCTGCGGCAGTCTTCTCGAAATGCGGCTCTCACAATTCCAAATTAGCGGCTGCGCATTTCAAGATTTTGAAAATGCGGCTCTCGCAGTAGCGATGCGCGCGCTCATTCTCGACATCTTGCAACAGGATTCGTATGATTGGAGTCTCAAGGATGAGGTTCTGGCACAAGCTTGGCTACGAGGGCGCAGCCGTCACGCTGATCCGCGGAGCTGAAATCCCAAGAGCGGCGCCCTGGCGCGACATCGGGGCCGTCAATGCGCAACCGTCACGTTGACTCGCGGCGCTCGCAATCGCTCGGACGTCTCCCTGTGTTTTTTTCGGTTTCGTGCGTGGTTTTTTCTCCAGATGATCAAGGATGCTCCTCGATGGCCCTCGCCGAAGGAAAAACGCACACGTCCGAGCGATGCCAAGGGCGTTGAAGCTCACGCAGCTGGTCTTCATGGGGCTCTCTGGTGCTGGGAGGCGCCCGTGCATATCGAGGGAGGGGCCCAGCGGCGGGGCGGAAACCAGCTGCATGCAGCAGACTTCGTGCGAAGGGGCCCCAGGACACACAAACAAAAATATACACAAATAAAAGGGTGCCCCCCATTTTCCCATATTTTCTGTGTTTTTCTCTTCCCCCCCACTTCCCATAGTTTCCCATATTTTCTGGGGAATCGCCGATTAATTGTGTCTGTGTGTGTTTTTGTCCCTCCTGATCGTAACTGCCCCACCCTTTCCCTACGTATCTCCCCTCCCCTCCCCTCCGTCCCGCCCGACATGCATCTTCGCGCCCCTCTGTAACTCACCACGGCCCCGGGACGA